GAGAGAATCTTAAGCAGGCTCCATGCTTAGTGCAGAGCCCAACACATTGCTTGATCTCATGATCCTGAAATCATGACCTGAGCCAAAATCAAGACTTGGATGCTCAACGACTGAGCCACTGAGGCACCCCTAGAAATTTCTATTTTTTAATTTTTTTTTCAACGTTTATTTATTTTTGGGACAGAGAAAGACAGAGCATGAACGGGGGAGGGGCAGAGAGAGAGGGAGACACAGAATCGGAAACAGGCTCCAGGCTCTGAGCCATCAGCCCAGAGCCCGACGCGGGGCTCGAACTCCCCGACCGCGAGATCGTGACCTGGCTGAAGTCGGACGCTTAACCGACTGCGCCACCCAGGCGCCGCAAAATTTCTATTTTTTAAAAACAAAGTTTTGATCACTGTGCTCTATTTAGGTAGTCCCTCTTAAACCCACCTCCATTTCCCCATATGTATTGGTGAAGAAAAGACAAACTCCTTGCAGTAGTATTGGGAAACATCTAAGAAAGAATCGGTGACACTGTATTTTATAGGAGATGCTTCTTCTCTAACAAGTATTTATAGAATATGAAATCTGGGAAAATTATCACCCAATTTTCCTCTTCTAGAGGCATGTTCTAAATGATAGGAATCTGTATATCCATGAGCTTTGCTGACATTTTTTATTTGATCCAGAATCTGTATTCTTTCTCAAAGAAAGCATAATAAGCAGCACAATATATTTTGTGCTACTTACTTAACATCTAAATTAAGGTGGATGTTTTAAGATTATTTTCAGGGGCGCCTGGGTGGCGCAGTCGGTTAAGCGTCCGACTTCAGCCAGGTCACGATCTCGCGGTCCGTGAGTTCGAGCCCCGTGTCAGGCTCTGGGCTGATGGCTCAGAGCCTGGAGCCTGCTTCCGATTCTGTGTCTCCCTCTCTCTCTGCCCCTCCCCCGTTCATGCTCTGTCTCTCTCTGTCTCAAAAATAAATAAACGTTAAAAAAAAAATTTTTTTAAAAAAAAAAAGATTATTTTCAGAGAGAAGGTGTATAGTTCAAATTATTTGGCTGTATTTCACAGTATTGTTACAAAATTGTCAAACAATGGCTGGGCTCCAGTATAGTTCTCAGTTCCTGTGTTCCATTGGGACACTGGTCTTAAATCCAATGTTTCCTCTTATTCCAAACATAAAAACAAACAAACAAGCAAACAAATAAGCAAGTGGTAAGTAAATGAAAATATTTTAAAAGCCAGCTCTTTTCTCCCTCATCCATATTAATTCTCTTCTAGCTAAAAATACTTCCTAGAAGTGATTTTTATGTTTCTTAGAAACTCTCTATGCAGATATCCACTAGTATAGATAAAACTATTCCTTCTAGATCTCATACATTTTCCATTTGAAGTATTATTTATTTTCGTATGTCACTCTGAGTTTATCCATTCTCCTAGATATGTACTCTTCCGGTGCATTTGAGCATCATAGGAAAATAAATCTTACTCTTGATAATGGTAGCCTGGTCATTGAGTCACAGAAAGCTATTATTCCTACAATTTTTCAATAGTGAGTAGATTCTATAGGGGTAGAATTTTAAGATGTAAGTACACTGTTTTTCTATACTCAAATTACATCCCTCTTATCATAGAAATTGACCAGTGAAGTGTGCTGCTGACTTTTCAGAATACATGTACATATAGTCCATTAAGTTATTATATATATAACTTTGGTCAAAAAAGCATACTGTGAAATGTTGCCTTTGTTTAAACTCCCACTATTTCACTATACAGCTTTAAGATTCAACTTCTTTATTGCCCTCTGGTGGTGGGCTCTGTGAACTGCCTATTTAGAGGTCTGATAACCTTATTCACGTAACTAAGTAGGTATTCAATTCCTCAGGTACAAGCTAAAAAGTAGATATTGGGAAACATTCAAATTTATTGAAACTGACTAAGGAGGTCAATGACTTGATTGTTAGTTCAAAAATATGAAATATTGATTCTCCTTTTGTCAAATAATATTGCACGAAGAGAATACGAATACTTGTTTGCTTTGGAATAAAAAACAGTAATTAAAGATTTTCTTCATTTGGACCATGCCTTCTCTGAAAATACAGAGTTCAATTAGGAGTTGGACTTTCCAAAATATTCTTTTAAAAATAAAACTCCACAAGTAATTTCAAATTATAATTTAAGTTTATCTTAAATTTAAATATTTATATCTATATTGATTTAAATGTGGTACACTATATAGTTTCAGGTGATTCCATCCTTCATATCTTCTCCCCCCTTCAACAAATAGGATACATACTGAGTGCCTAATACGAGTTAAGGAACTCTGTATGAAATTGTGATGTTGGTAAAGCTTAGCAGAAAGGATTGCAGCCTGTGTGTTGATGAATTTTCCCTAGGAGTGTAGAAGATGGTAGGTGGGGAAGGGTCAGACATGTCTCTGTGCTCCCCAAATTTTCTCTGTCAACTATCAACCTCTTGTATTAGAAATAACTTCCCTTGTTAGAAAGGGTTTTGAGACGGTAAATGTTTTCTATTAAAATGTAAGTATTTTCAGGAGTACCTGAGTGGCTCAGTTGGTTAAGCTTCTGGTTCTTGATCTCAGGGTCATGAGTTCAAGCCCTGCATTGGGCTCTGTGCTGTGTGAAGCCTACTTAAAAAAAAGTATTTTCAAAGTCTGTAAAATATAGGGTATTATGTAGTTTCCTTAGTATAGCCGATTTTCAACAGAACAGACTGGGGACTGTATCTATGGATGTGTATGTGCATGTGTGTGTCTACTGAGGATACAGAAGACACGTTGGACAAGAAATAGTACTGGTATATGACAAGGAAAAGAACATAAAAGACAAATTTCATCTACTTAAGTTACCCCCTGGCTGGGGAAAGTCTTACTTTTCCACCATCCTTTGCTAATATATTTAGTAAATGCCCAGGGTCCTTAGCTACCTCTGTAAGTTTTACAAGCCTGTCAATATCCCATGTGCAGGGGATGGAGCCTCGAAATTTTGCCCATATAGTTTTTCTTTCCCTCAGAGTTTTCCTCTGAGCTATGTAGTGGGGTAGGTTTTTGGTGAAAATCTGTGCTCATTTGTTAAATAGAAACTACTTTTATAGTTTAAATAAATAAATGGTATTTTGAGCCAATTGCAGAGTACCTCTGGCTTCCTCATAACAGATACTTTAGGACAAGTAGGTCATTTATATTCCCTTAAATCAGAGTACAAAGTTATTGAGCAATTCTAGTTCAAACCTTGTAGTCACAAAATGTGGAAAGAGATATCCTGCATTCTGTCATCATCTGCTTATTCTCTTACACAGACACCAAAAACTCTTTCACTGAAGTCGAAAGAAGAATAATACTCAAACAAAGTCTGTGCTTAAAGTCTGTGTCTTGTTTTTATTTTTCCCAGGCATAAAGTAGGTAACTGTTCGATGTTCTCATGATAAATATTAAAAATCTAAAAGATGTTTTATTTACTAAAGGTCATAAAATTCCAACTTTTCTTTTGGTAGAGAGATTTATGATGAAAAGTTTGGAAACTTCTGTTCTATATTAATTTTCCTGATTTGAGACTGCAGAGAACAGCATTTAGATGGAAAAAGTTGCCAAGAGGACCATAAGTAAAGGCATTTATGCGTTCTTTCTTATAATTTCATTTATTAGTTTTCAACATCTAACTTTGAAAAGCTGCCTGAGGCTACACAGCATGTACAACAGGGATCACAGCCGTGCTGCCCCCACCCTCTCCCTGCAGATGGGAACAGAGTGTGCCTAGCAGTACCGGCACAGGCCCGCATTTCTCTGTCCACCCTTGGTACTTCTCAGGACAGGAGCTTTTCTCCATCAGCTTCATCCTGCTCCACTTGACTCCTTTTCCCTCCAGTATTATAGAAATATAATTCACATTTAACACTGAGTAAGTTTAAGGTGTGCAGTGTGATGATTTGATACATGCATGTACTGAAAAATGATCACCACAAATAAAGTTAGTTAACAAATCCATCACCTCACGTAATTACATTGTGTGTGCATGTGTGTGTGTGTGTGTGTGTGTGTGTGTATGGTGAGAACATTTAAGATCTCTCTTAGCAACTTTCAATTGTACAATATTGTTAATTAGAGTCACCATGCTGTACATTAAATCCCTGGAACTGGGGCACCTGGGTGGCTTAGTTGTTGAGTGTCTGACTTTGGTTCAGGTCATGATCTCACGGCTCATGGGTTCGAGCCCCGCATCAAGTCTGTGCTGACAGCTCAGAGCCTGGAGCCTGCTTTGGATTCTGTGTCTCCTCTTTCTGCCCATCCCTCACTCATGCTGTGTCTCTCTCTGTCTTTCAAAAGTATATGAATGTTTAATTTTTTTTTAAATTAATAAATCCCAAAACGTATTCTTCTTATAACTAGACATTTGTACCTTTTGACGAATATCTCATCTCCTCCACCCCTAGCCTCTGGCAACCACTATTCCATTCCTTGAGTTAGCGTAAGTGAAATTCCACATATAAGTGAGTCATACAGTATTTGTCTTTCTCTGTCTGACTTATTTTACTTAGCATAATGCCCTTAAGCTTCATGTATGTTGTCACAAATGGCAGGATTTCCTTTTTTTATGACTGAATAATGTTCATATATATGATATATGTATATATCTCACATCTTCTTCATTCATTCATCATTAATGAACACTATTAATTATAGAAACTCTGTCAACCCCTACAAGTGACTAAGGTAACAACACACAAAATCTGGGTGCTGTTACAATGGAGAAAATTTCCCAATGGTAGCAGTAGATCCTGGCTCTAGATAGGCTACACCCCACAGGCAGAAAGGCTGGCCGTATTTTGGGAGTAGCTGGTTTGAATATGAGTCAAACAAATCAAATAATTGGTTGATATGTCACTAGGACAAAGTCTATCATCTATTTTAGGCATCTTACCATAGATATGAAGTGAGAATAAATGGAAAAGAAGGCATCTAAAGCAAAAGGTTATCATGAAACCAGTTCTTTTTATTCTATAGAAGGGAGAATATACAATCTCACCTCAGAACCTGAAATCAAACAGTGACATGTAACAGCTTGCGTAGGATATAATTGTAGCAGGAAAAATACAAGCAGAAAGCACAGGAGAAAAAAGTGCCATTTTGTATGGGAATAAATAGCTTGGAATATCTCAACGGCCTCCTAAAAACAAGCTTGGGTTTCAATATAGTATAATAATTAATATTCAGTCTTAAGAAAATAAAACTGTACCTTTGCTTTCTTTTAGAAAGTGCTGGAAAGGCAACTATATTTGACAAATTTTCATAAATAAAGAAATTTAGCACACTTAAATGTTTTATCTACTAATTAAAAAAATCTTTCCTACAGAATATCATTTTCTGATGAAATAGGGGGAAAAGAAGGTGCTAGGGGGTGAAGAAGTATGGGGTAAGTATAAAATTTCCTCTCCTCCTTTTTTACCTGAAAATATTTTTCCAAGCCTAAAGAAGTAGTAAAATTCTGCATCTGAGATTGAATGAAAGTTTTAATAGACACATCTTATATATATGCAATTTGATTTCCACAGTTATTTCAATGTGCTGACTGGGCTGCTTGCTTTAAACGGAGACTCCTCTAAACAAAGCTCTTGAAGAAACTAACAATGTGTGAACCAACTTGTTTGTTCTGTGTGTCACTTGGCTGCAACAGTAGACTAAATTGCTCTTTTAACCACATTGTTTGTACCCCTTGTAGTATCTGGAATCATTCCTGAAACTAGAGAAGGGGGCTCAGGAAGCTGAAAGAGACAAAATATCTAACTATTGTTTCTTTGCAGAATTACAAAGGTCAGGTAGCAGGTTCATTTCTGATGGTTTTAAAGAGAAAAGCTAAGGGGTTCCTGGATGGCTCAGTCACTTCAGCGTCAGACTTCATTCAGTTTAGGTCATGATTTTGTGGTCCATGGGTTCAAGGCCCCACATGGGGCTCTGTGCTGGCTGACAGCTCAGAACCTGGAGCCTGCTTCAGATTCTGTCTCCCTCTTTCTCTTTGCCCCTCCTCCACTCACTCTCTATCTCTGAAAAATGAATAAACGTTAAAAAACTTTTTTAAAAGGATGAACTATGGCGTCTAGTCCACTTTGGAATTCATATCCCTGTTCTTGTGTGTTTTCAATGCTAGTCCACCTTGAGTGGATCACGAGAGATGATTTCTCAGCATTAGCCAGTGGTTTTCTAATTCTGATCTTAGTTTGTCCTAGTGATGTAACATTGATGAGGGATTTTGAAATTGTTAAATGCTGCAAAAGGTCTTGATTTTGTAATGATACCAAACTGTGGAAAATAAAAGGAGGATTGGTGAATTTTTGATAAATTATAATAGTTCTAATTGATTTTCATAAGAAAAAATAGGGAATGGATTATTTAGGAATCTGAATGAATATCTCACCTATTCCTATTAAAACTACAGGTTAGTTGAGATAAAAAATTTTAGGTATAAATTTTGGTAATAAAATTCGTTATGACTCTTTGCTTAATCATGAATTTAAGTGGTGACCGGTTCACCAGTTTGCAGTCAATAAGGTTGGCCAATGGGATAATTCACTTTGTAGTCTGGGACATCCAGCCCTATCTTCATTCTCTTGTTTATGCTCTATCTCATGTATTTTAGTAGTAATAGTAGTAGTAGTAGTGGACAGTTATTATTAGATAGAATTGAGTTGTTTCTATAATTTTTTATAGTCAAACATATACTAAGTAATACAGATTTTGAAAGCACTCGTGTTTAGGATGGGGAGACCAAAAGTGAATTCAGTGTTTATAATACTAGTAGCTGCCCTTCAAGGAGCCTGTGGTTTATTTGGGAAGAAGTGACATATGCAATAATCTGAGGTATTGAATAAATAAGTAAGTCTAAGGGCAGAGGTTCCTGAGAGTGAGTTGAGTATGGAGGAAGCAAGCTAAAATAACCCATTTCAAATCCTGGCATTATAATGATTTGCAGGTCTCCTCACACCTTTTCCTGACAGCATAGACAAAGCAAACAAGACTGGACAATATGCTACAATGGCCCAAATAGATTTAATGTCATTTTAGCTGATTATTTTTAGGCTTTGAGTATATGATAATTCAAATCTACCTAAATAATAGGTTGACTTTAACACTGAAAATTCAAAAAAGAAACTGCTGCAAAAGTATACACAATAGTAACAACTAGTTGTTGGAAGAATATAATTTTTTTTTTTTTTTTTTTTGCCATATACTAGTATTACATAACCTGCCCCAGACCTAGGAACAGCCTTTACTCTGACTGGTTATCAGACTTTGTTGTCTTCTAGCTAAGACTGAAACCTTTTCTTAAAAATTACTTTTGTAGATTTTATCACCAAAGACCTCAGAGCAACCTGAGTGCCAGAGTTCTGGACTTGGACAGGTAAGGCAGAATTATAATTAGAATTCTTGGTCAGGGAAGAAGGCTCCTGATTTAAGAATAGTTTTCTTCCTCTTGAAAGCTCAGGAGAACACATTTAATCCATCTACATTTATGAAAAATTTAGTACAGAGAATTTCAAACATCTACATAAGTAGGAAGAAACAAATGGAAACCCTCATCATTAATCTCATCAAATATCAATTGCTGGCTATTTTCTCTATGCCGCCCCTTACTACCACCATCATAATTCCCAGCAATTTTGAAGCAAATTCTAGATTTTCTTTTCCCAGTAAAAATTTTAATATATCTATTTCTAAAATGTAATAACTGCCCCTTTCAAACCCAAGTATAAAGTCATCATCACATACCCCCCAATTAACAATAATTCCTTAATATTAACAAATAACTGGTCAGTTCACATTTCCTTGATTGTCCTATAAATATATATGTTTTTTAATTTTAATGACCATTATTTCTTTTATTAATGATCCAGACACAATTTTTCTTTCTTTTTTCTTTAATTATTTTATTTTTTACAATTTATTTTAAGTTATAAGTTTAAGAGAACTTCATTTGTTCATATTTCCTTGAATTTATTTGTCTGCCATTGAATCAAAAGCATTCATCCTGCATGGTTCTCAACTGTCTGTATTGTGTCCATTGTATACCCTTCATGCCTATACATTTATCATGTTCTTTGACCCATGTGTTTACTGTCAATTGGTAGATAGATCTAGAGCATTGAAAAAATTCAGGTTTGATTTTTTGGTAGGTCTACTTCATAGGTGATGTTCATTAATTCCAAAATGAGTTATAAAGTGTCTGCCTGTCTTATTGTGATGTTGCAACCATCAATTATTCATGCCTAGACCCATTAATTTATTATGGGTACCAAGTGGTGATGTTCTGCTAATTATGTTATTATTTTTTAATTAATATATTTATTTTGGGGGGGAGACGGGGAGAGAGAGAGAGAGAGAGAACAAGCAGGGGAGAAATGGAGAGAGGGAGAGAGAGAGGGAGAGAGAGAGAGAGAACAAGCAGGGGAGAAATGGAGAGAGGGAGAGAGAGAGGGAGAGGGAGAACCACAAGCAGGGCCTGCATATTCAGTGAGGAGCCTGATGCGGCGCTCGATCTCTTGAACCAGGAAATCATGACCTGAAAGGAAACCAAGACTTGGACCCCTCACTGACTGGGTCAATCAGGTGCCCCTTTACTAATTATATTATTATTATTCATTTTTAGCTGGAATATTCATTTCATCAACTATTTGGTTGCCCTGAGTCACAGTTTAATTTGAAAAGGCAGAATAAATGTTTCTTTTATTTTATTTACCAATTTTGCCAAAAAAACAAAAGAAAAAAAAAAAAAGACTCCAGAGTATATTTCAAAGATGATCAGTTAGGTATTTTATTTCCTTGTTGTTGTTTTCATTGATGCTA